TATGGTGCCCTGCCTTGAGTACCTGACCATGCCTGACATCCTAGTATTGTTGATAGCTGTGTTGATTTGACTGATTTTTTTTTGTTTATTTTTTCTCCCCTCCTCAGAAGAGATGGTTCAAGAGGAATGCCAGATCGAGATGGGCAGGTGAGTCAAATTAAGATTCTAGCCTTAATTAAGACAAACACTGAAGCATCCACCTATTCAGCCACCCAGCATGCATGATGTTCGCTTCTTAAATGTGGATGTTCCGCAAGTAACTAATTTGACATGATGAGAGACCCCATATCTAATTATATCTAAGCAGTATATAGAAAATAGTGATATAACTGAACAGACAGGTAACTGTTAGAGATGTGTTTACTGCAGCTGTGTGTTTTCTGAACAAAGGAAGGATGCAGACAGAACTTCTTTCTAAAATAAAAAATCTGGAGTCAGAAAATAGGCCATAAAGAATAGGGAGGAGAAACTGTAGCAGCACTTAYGAAAGTAATGTGAAATGTGTGAATTTTCTGCAAAATTAATGCCTAGAATGAACCACAGGCAGCAGCAATGGAACCAGTGAGGAATGAGACTGTTGCTGTTTTACTTTCTAGCAGCTAATAAAATTGTAAAATGACAGGAGCTGTATAAAATTGTGCTACCCCCAAAATAAAGGCGTGTGCTGGCTCTTAGCATGGCTTTCTGCCTCGCAGCATTACCCGGATGAGCGCCATGGAGGGCCTGATCGCCACTCGCGCGACTCCCGCGACGCCTGGGGTGCCTATGGCTCCGACAGAAGAATGGCTGAAGGTAGAGGGATGCCCCCGCAGTCCCGGTTAGTGCACGTGGAGCAAGGGAAGCTCTTTGTTCCTGCTTAAAAAGCTTGTGCTCGGCAAACCTTCAGAGAGTGATGGTGAGAGCAGTTTCACRAGTGTGAATCCTCTGTCCAGATAGTTCCTTCGCGGGTCTAACCTGCTGGATGAGCAAGGAATTTAACGTATGTAGCTCCCCTGTGCATCAAGAGAATGGAGTGATTTTAGTGAGTAAAGAGGTGCTGCTCGGGTGGCTCTGCTGCTAACTGTTGTTCTCTTGTAAATGTTTCCATATCTGCAAATCATACCCGGTCCTATACTGGGTGCTTCTGTAATGCCAACAGAAGCCCTTACATGTGGCTAGCACACAGATTTTAGGGCAATAAGTCTGAATCACTGTGACAGCGAAGGCTGGGAAATGGGGCTATTCTGGATCTTTTTATCTAAGCCAGCTAATCAAACTAAGTTTATTCCAGATACATAGTACATAATTATGACTCTCAGATGGAGGGATGGCATTCCTTTCTTGTTTAAATGTTTCARCTTGTTGTGATACTAATTATGCCTCTGTAGATAAGAAAAGTACTTTCTGTGTAGAGGACACTGCTCAGCAAGTTTCTTTTAGTCGCTCTTCAAGCAATTTTTATAGTACTGATGGAGTGGATAAACGGTTGAATGAACTTTTGCATGGAGTATGGTGTTTGGCTTTACCCCATGCTGTTCAGTTGATAAGGGACACACCTAGAAGATGTTCTTTTATTTTTTTAAGAGATGGACGTGACTGGGGAGATCATGGTCGAAAGTTAGAGGGGCATCAAGATCGTTCATGGCAGGGGAATGTGGCTGGAGGAGTGATGGGACGGGATCATGAGAGATGGCAAGGTACACTTGCTGCTTACCAGTGTGATTGTGGTTTTTCTATGAAATGCTGCTGTGGAACTTCTAGTGGTGGTTAAAATTCCTACAGAGCTTTAACAGCATTGCAAAGAAAGCAAATAGAATTCTGGGAACAAGGTGGCTTTCTAATAGGAAAATAAGACTAATTGGAAAATAAGACTTTTATATACTCTAACTTTTTTTTTCTGTTTTTCATTTTTTCTTCTTTAAATCAGGTGGTGATAGAAGCATGCCTGGTCAGTCAGGGCCAGGCCATGTGATGAGTCGAGGAGGGATGTCAGGGTAAGAAGCTTTGTCAGAGTACTCGAGTACTCGTGGATGCTTTTATAAAAACTGAATTAACGGAGTAAAAGAAGAAATTTCTTTGTTTTGTCAATTGTGCAAAACGATATTTTCAGCTTCTGCTGAACTATGAATTTGTGAGTAGAAAATAATCAAACATCTACTGCCAGAGTAGTATATTTTTGGCCATTTTCAATGTGTTTGGTCTTTTTTTCAAGGCGTGGAGGCTTCACGCAAGGTGGAAACCAGAGCCAGATACTGCAAAGTAGTGGAATACAGGGAGGATTTGCGGGCCAGGATCGCCTGAACAGACTGACTGATCCCCGTTTTACCCGCCGCTACTGAAAACATTTTATATTTTTTTTATATATATATAAATATAGGTATATATATTTATATATATATATTATATATAAATTTTAGTGCAAGATGACAATGGTGGTGTATTTTATTAGCCGGGGTCATCTTGAATTTATGATGACAAAAAGCAAAACTGCTGCCATACTGTAGCCAAATACTATGTCAATGCATTTGTTTTGTTTTTGTAATAAATGTGTTCTTGGTCAAACATCAAGGTTTCTGTTAAAACCGGGTAGTTTTAAGGAAAAATCCTCGGTTATTCCGGAATCCGGAGCAGCGCCTGGACCTCGACGGCGCGGGAATGCAGGGGGCGCTCGTGCGCATGCGCCGMAGGGACGCACGCCCCCGCCCCGGCGTGCTCGCCTGTGCGCATGCGCTGCAGGGAGCCTCTGCGCGCATGCGCTGCAGCGAGGTGCTTCCCCTGTGAGCGCAGTGGCAGGCTGCGCATGCGCCGCTCGGGCCCGCGGCCACGCCTGCGCCCCGCCCGGTGCTTTGCTGCCCCCGCGCGGCGGGGAGGTTGGCAGCGCCGTCACAGTGCGGAGCATGCGCAGTGCGGCCCGGCGYGCGGGCGCCACCCCGCGGCCAGAGCGAGCGGGGAGCGTTGTTAATGTCGGCCTTGAGTGTTCTTAATGTCGGCATTAGTGTTAGTGTCGCCCTTGATGTTGTCAGTGTCGGCTTGGACCTTGCCCTAGGGCAGGATTAAACTGCCTGGGGTTCAGCTGGTCCCCATTGCCCCTTCTGTCACTGGCCACCACCGAGAAGAGCTTGGCCCTTCCTCCCTGCATCCTCGCCTCAGGTACCTGGACACAGTGWCCAGGTCCCGTCTCGGCCKCCTCTCCTCCAGGCTGAACGGGCCCCGCTYGCTCGGGCTCTCCTCACAAGGAGGATGCTCCAGGCCCTTCCTCATCTTTGTTGCTCTCCGCTGGCCCCTCTCCAGCAGCTCCAGGTCCCCCTGGTCCTGGGGRGCCCAGAGCTGCCCCCAACGCTCCAGGTTTGGCCTCCCCAGGGCGGAGCAGAGGGGCAGGATCAGGATCCCCTCCCTGCCCTGCTGCYAMCGTCCTCCCGATGCAGCCAGGAGCCCATCGGCCGCCTTGGCCACCAGGGCCTCCCCATGGTCACCTTGGTGTCCCCCAGGGCTCCCTGGGCGGGACTGACCTGCCCCGTTCCTGTGTGTCCCAGGAGGGCTCTGCTGTGCCCGGGGCGCTGGGCTGGATGCCTGCCCCRTTGGAGAGCGACCAGGAACGGGGGCACAGGAGAAGGGGACCCCGAAGCTCCGTGTCCACGGATGGGTGGCTTCCCTCTCACCAACTCTCCCCCTCTGCAGGCAGCTGTTTTCTGGCTTCGTTTCCCTGCCTCAGAGCCCGGGCTGTGCTGGTGCATCCCTGTGGACGGAGCCGCAGGCCGTGGKGCTTGGGCTGGACCCGCGCGGCGCGTCCGCAACCGAGCGGCTTCATTGATCGAGCRCCAGCCCAACGGCGGAGAATGTCAGACGGCTTTACTGTCTGGAATGGCACTAACACAGCACGGCGTGGGTGCGGGCAGCGATGGCGGGGCGGGCGGCGYGGGCGCGGCGGGGAGGACCCGGGTCCCGTGGGGACGGTCACCTCGAGCCGTGCAGGGACGGCCGGGTCCCCGTGGGCCTTGGAGCCCTCCCTGCGCGGGGATGGGGAGGGGGCTCTCCCCATCCCGGGCTCTCCGCGGGACGAGGGGGGCTCCGGCGGCAGGAGCTGCTGCCGGGGGCAGGTTCCACCCGGGCCTTTCTTTGGTTTCGGTGCGGGAAACGCGGCAAGGAAGGGGGCGGCCGGATGCGCGGAAGGGCTCGGGGCCCCCGCGCCCCCCACGGGCCCCGCTCTGCCACGTCTGCCACCGCAGGGAGGGAGGCCCCAGGCCGCGGGACYGAGGGGTGCTGCGGATCTGGGGGAACGGGGCCATTCCCTGGGGCCGCTGCCATCCCAAGGTTGCTGCTCCACGCGCCGACGGTGCTGGAGCAGCCGGGACAGGCGCGGGGGCTCCGCACAAGCCGCCTCCGTGGGACCTAATGCCAGCGGCTGGGGAGGGGACCGGGAAGGCAGTGCAGGGACTGGGGGGAGCTCGGCTTTGGTGTCCGTGCCCACGGTGCCGCCGTRTCCCGGGGCTGGTCATCTCCGGCCGCTCCGTGGACACCAGCGGCGGCGGGAGGGCGGCCGAAACCACGTGCATGGGGTTTGCAAGCTGCTCGAGGCCGCGGGCAGCTCGAGCAAAGCAAAGCAGCTGCCGGGGTGCCCAGAGAGATGAATCCGATTGCTGGGAATGCCGGAGGAGCGCTTGGCTTCCCCGTAAAGCAATCCCGGAGCGGCACCTCCGGCGCGGGGCAGGGAGGCGCTGCAAGGAGTCGCGGTGCTCCTGGGTTCCCCTCTCGGMCCCTTTTGCCCTCGGGGGAACCAGCTCCGCTGCAGCTTCCTCTCTCTGCCCCTTGGGGGTCACTGSGTGAGAAAGAACAACACTAGGACGAAACAGGATGAGGACGCTCTACCGACGGCCCTCCCGCCCGGGCAGGCGGGAATGGGAGTCCGCCTCGCTCCCGCTGCCGGCCCAAAGCCACTTCCCAAGGAGCCTCCGTGCTCCGCCGCCAGCCACGCGCGCCGGCCCGGCCGCGGCCCGGCGGGAAAAGCGGCTCCGCTCCCGGCAGGGGCGGCCTCGGCGCTCGCAAACCCCTCCGCGCTCCGCAGCGTCTCTGCTCTCCAGGCAGCCCGCTCAGCGCTTCCCGCTGCCTTATTTCTTCTCGGCCTGCGTGTCGGCGCCCGGCGCCTCGGGCTCCCACAGCACGAACTCGTGCAGCAGCGTGTTGACCGTCTCGGGACACTCCAGCATCACCATGTGGCTGCCCTCGTCGATCACCTTCAGGAAGGCGATGAGCAGGATCTGCGGAGGGAGGGGAGCGCGTGGCCGTGAGGGCCCCGCACGGCACCGCGCCGCGCCGCCCGCCCCGGCCCTCACCTCGGCCATGCGCTGGTCCTCCTCCACGGGCACGAACTTGTCGTGCATGCCGTGCACCAGCAGCACGGGCACGGCCAGCTCGGCGTGATAGACCTCGTCGCCCTCGGGCCAGTACTGGCCGCTCATCATGGCGCGCAGCACGAAGGAGGAGACGTTGAAGGCRTTGCCTTCCTTGAGCAGCTGCTTCTCCTTGGCGCCCTGGCGCGCGAAGCCGGCCCTGCGGGGCAGAGGCAGCGCGGGCAGCAGCGCGGGGGGCCCTCCCTTCCCGCGGGATGTTCCCAGGGCCGGGAGCGGGACGCGGCCGCCGCCGCCACTCACTTGAGGAAGCTCCACGCGAGGCAGGGCGAGAGGCAGCGCAGCACGCACGTGGGCATGTTGAAGATGGARCAGAGGCTGGGCTCCAGCGCCGTGGGGCCGCCGCCGTTGATCATGATCACCTTGTGCACCAGCTCGGGGTACTCGTGCGCCAGGAAGGTGCAGAAGGAGACGCTGCGGGCGGAGGCAGCGCTGCCGGGGCCGATCCCTTCCTGCCTCCCGCTAATCCCCGCACGGCTCCGGCTCGGCTGCCCCCGCGGGCGCCCAGAAAGGCTCCTCGGCCGCCAGGGCAGCCCCGCTTAGGCTCTGTTTAATTGACTTGCTTGGGCTTACTCTATTTATAGGCACCGGGCTGCCGCCCCGTCGCCGGCGGAGCCGCTCGGCCGGCTGGGTGCTGGGATTATCCGGAGCCACAGATCCGGGAGGAGGCAATACAACCTGAGGGATGAAGCCGGAGCGTCCCCGCGCGCCTTACCCGTACGAGTGGCCGATGAGGATGTTGCGCTTCTTGGCGAAGCGCTTGAAGACGGCGCGCATGTCCTCGGCCAGCGCGTAGAAGGTGTAGGCGGCGGCGATCTGCGGCGCCGAGCTGCAGCCGTGGCCCGCCAGGTCGGGCGCCACCACCTCGTAGCCCAGCTTGGTGAAGAAGTCCAGCTGCTCCTTCCAGATGTCGAGCGAGCCGCCCACGCCGTGGATGAAGAAGAGCACCACGTCGCCGTGCGTCCCCTTGCAGCTCGTGATCTGCTTCTTGCAGTCGATGTTCACCACCTTCTTGGGCTTGCGCTTGCGGCGCTTGCCGGTGCCGGCCTCGCGGGCGCCCGCGGGGCCGCCCGGCTCCGCCAGCTCCAGCTCCGCGGAGCCRCCGGCCCCGGCGCAGCCGCCGCGGCCCTGCAGGATGTCGGGGCGCACGGCGTCGCCCAGGTTCTCGATGAGCAGCTGCCCGCTGCGGTACACGGTGATCTTGCGCTTGCAGTGCACGGTGCCGCGGGCGGCCGCGGGCGCCTCCTCGGCCGGCCGGGCCGGCGCGCTGTGTCTCACCCGCAGGATCCTGCCCGGCTTCACCTCCATGAAGCTGTAGCCGTTGGCGGAGTCGAGGCTGTCGAGCGGCCCCACGGCGTTGGCCGCCTTGCCCAGCAGGCAGCAGAGCAGCCCGTCAGCGATGCTGGTCAGCATCGTGCTCCCTGCAGCGGGGCGACAGGGCGGCCGGCGTCAGCGCCCCCGCGGGGCAGCCCAGACGGGGGCTCGGGGTCCCCCTAAGCTCCCACCCGGCTCCGGGACCAGCCCTGGGAGAAGGAACTGCCCCAAATTGCCCGTTGGCGACGCCGACGCTGCCCTTGGCACCAGTGCAGAGCTGCAGAACGGCTCGGCTCGGCTGCTGAGCCTATGGCATCGTCGATGCCACTTAAATAAATACATGGGGACCTTGGATCTCAGGCACCAAAGCGAACGGCGCGAGGTGGCAATTGTGGGCAAGAGCGCTGCAGGTTTTAATTACAGTCGTTCCACAAGCGGAGACTGGAAATAAGGCGGCAGGGAGGACACGGAGCCGCTCGGCAGCGTCTCCAGCGCCCGCAGCTGCGGCGGCCGCAGCAGGAGCTCCCGTGTGCTCCGCAGCGGGCGCGGGGGSTCCCCGCGGCTCCCGCGGCCGCGGCTCTGCCCCGGGACCCCGCTGGGCTCGCGGGACCGAGGGCGCCCGGCGGCTCCCGGCCCGGCGGGCGGCTCACGGACATTCATTATTCACGAGGCCAAACGCGGTGAATTATTGATGCTGATGGGCTGCCTGGCAGGGCGCGCTGGGGCTGCGCCCGCGGCACGGGGACGGGGACATCCCGCCGTGAATCCCCGCAGGGCGGCCGGGCAGAAAGCCGCCTTTCCCRATGGGAATTAAACACCTCAGCACCGGGAGCTGGCCACTTAACTCCCCAGAAATCCCTTTAAATACCCCCTGTAGGGGCTTTGCTRATTCCCTGGGGAATAGGCACCACCAAAACGCGGGAGAGGGGCAGATGAAGCCCCGGGAAGGCCCGGCTTTCCTGCCCCGTCCTCCCACTGGGATCCTGTGGGGACGGCAGCCCCGGAGCAGCCGGCCGGGCCGCGCCGCCGCGTCCCGCGTGCCGGAGCCGCTGCTGCTCCGGCGCCACGGCCGGGCCCGCGCGGCGGCGGGACCCTGCGGGGCTGCCGGTTGCCATGGCGATGCGCCAGCCTCCCCCCGGCTCCGCCGGCGGGGAGCGGGATTTGGGCACCGGTTACATAACGGCAGGCACAACAATGAGTCAGGCGGCGGGCGCGTTATATAAAGCCCCTTCTCCCCGCTCCGGCGGAGCCCGGCTGGCACCGGAGCCACCTGGAGAGGCCCCCGGCGCGCCCCAGGCCCCGGCACCCTGCGTGGGAAGCTGCCCGGAGCGGAGCCCAGCCGAGGGGCACATCCAGGGGGGCAGCCTCTGCGTGGAGCCGGCGCCTCCGGAGCGCAGCTCCTGCCCCTGCGCTCGCCGCTCCTGCCTGGCAACAGCCGCGCCGCGGAAAAACAACTTCGTGACCTACTTTGGGCTGCGGCGCCCCGGGCCCGGCGCCGCGCGGGCGCCGTGCCAGCCTTGCGGAAAAACGGGACGAGCTCCGGCGAGGAGCACCCCGGAGCACCCCCCGTGCTGGGAAGGACGGGCGTCCCCCTGCGCCGTCCCTGGGGAAGGGCCCTGCAGGGACGGGCAGGGACAAGGACGGGGTCCCGCCAGCAGCGCCCGCCTGTCCCTGCCGTGGGGTGATCGCYGGGCTCAGCGAGCCCAGGGCCCGCGGTCGGGAAAGCGGCTTCCCCCCGGCTGCTCCGGTCCCGCAGCCTCTGCGGAGCGGCCRGGGCTTCGGATCTGCACACCCCGCACGATCCCCTGGGGCATCAGCAGTGCCATAGGCGGGATCCGGACGGCAATACCGACACGCTCGGCTCTAATCCCTTCCCTCCAGGGTCACCAGTATCAATGATGACACACGACCCCCCGGAGCTGCGGGCAAATATTATTCTTCTCTCCCCAGTGTCCTCCATTCGTTCACTCTGCAGAGCACGGAAGCCAGAGCGCCAAGAGCCCTTCAGCAGAGCGAGGTTGGAGCCTCCATCCCCAAGCAGCACCAGAACCCGCGGCACCGCTGGCTCCTCAGCAAAGTTCCCTGCAGCGCGGGGCGAAGCGGCCGCTCCGGCTGGAAAACAGCCCTGTCCATCCTCCCGCGCCCCATTCCCAAGCCCTGACAGGAACACGGCCGCTCTACGGGGCGCTGGGTGTCGGGAAGCCCTTCCCAGCGCTGCGGTGAATCCCATGGACAGAGCCCAGCGTGCGGGAGCCGGGGGGCTGCAGGGCCCCCCTCCGGCTCCGCCACCCGCCGAGCCCTTGAGAGACAAAAGCTTATGCAACGTCCCCGGTACCAGCGCCCGCTGCGGGAAAGCGGCCCTGTCCCCCCGGGAAACGCTCCGAAACCGGCCCCGTTCCCCCGGGGAACGCTCCGGGACGAGGAGCCGTGTCCCCGGGGCTCCGCAGCGGGAAGGCGAGCGGAGCCGCAGAGCCCGCGGCGAGCGCGGCTGCTCCCCGCGCGCGGCGGAGCGTCCGCAGCGCC